TTATCATTATTTTTAATATTACTATTGTTATTATTGTTATTATTATTATTATTATTATTATTATTATTATTATTATTTACAGTATTTACATTATTTACATTATAAAACACTGTGAAAGACGGACACCAAAGACGGACACCAAAGACGGACACCAAAGACGGACACCAAAGACGGCCACTTTCTTCCTCTACAATGCATGCGCGTCTTAGACAATGTCGACTGTAATGTTAACATGGATTTGGCCTGCAGGGAGTTGATATTGCGTAATAACAAAACTATCAGGTCTTGAACATTAAAACCCACAGTTTTCATCCCAAATAGAAACAACAGATCTTATATTTTACCTCATGAAATTCCCCACGAGTGACATAATCTCTAGTGTCAGTTTTAGTCCCACTTTTGAAAAAGAGGAAATCACAAGTGTCAGTTTTAGTCCCACTTTTGAAAAAGATGAAATCACAAGTGTCAGTTTTAGTCCCACTTTTGAAAAAGATGAAATCACAAGTGTCAATTTTAGTCCCACTTTTGAAAAAGATGAAATAACACTATTAGGACCTGCGAGTAAAGCGTCAATCTCCGAAAGGATTGAACCAAACGGGAAATTCGTGTAAAGTGCCTTTCCCATGGACACGACGTCAGACCGAGCTGGGGCTCGAACCCCCAAACCCTCAATCTCATGATTACGGGTCCTGCAGCCTGGCCACTGGGCTACCGACGCCAATCACTTTTAACAGTTTGCATATTTCAACCGATTTTACCAAAGATTTCCCTGCTTTGGCCCGGGAGAAATTTCGAATTGCTTAACCCTGCCCACGACTTGGATACGCTTGCCCTTGTCAGACCTAAGTGTGTTGATGGGCGCGTAAAACATATTATGCAAATGGGCCCCCACTTAACTCAGTTTGTGTGATGTTGTATTACGGAGAAGAAGACCCTGTTTCGATTCCCAGATTGAGCGTTCTTCAATTTGGGTTGTATACTGAAATTTCAAGGCTCTCAATCCATTTGGCTCGGTCCTGGCGGAGACGACGATCAATTCAGAGAGGTTATAGGGGCGTTAAACCCATACACTTTTTTATAGCTCCAAAGAAGGAATTCCTTTTTGTGAGTGTGGATTGTTCCGGGTGTTTTTCAGATCAAGAAGATGAACAGGAAACTGGATATTTTAACTAATGAAGTCCGAAAGCTGAAGGAAGAATCCCCAGTAAGTATCTCTGAGCAGTGTTATCGACCGTGCATTCCCTGCTTGCTGAATAAGTATACCTCTATGTATTTGTGTGTGTGTGTGTGTGTGTGTGTGTGTGTGTGTGTGTGTGTGTGTGTTTCTTAAGGAGTGTGTGTCTGTATTTGTGCGTGTACATAAAAAGCGTGTGAAAAAACACCCCCAAAATCAGAATCCCAATTTTCACGAAAAACAAACGATTAAGGCGATAAAACTGCAAAGTTTCCAAGCCTTATCATATTATTTCAAAATTTTCACCAAAATAAAAAAAATAAAAAAATAAAAATAATAAAAGCCAACAGTTTCTGGTTATTCCTTCATTCTCATTTTCAGAACGAGGGCGACATATTCGCTGAGTACCCATTCCCCGTGACTCTTCTGTCTGCGCGGCGGGAAGTGACAGAGGAGGGCGTGGTGTACACTGTCAGATATGCCACGGACAGGAGGGTACGGGAAAAAGTAGTATGGGAAGTTGACGATGACGATGACGACTTCTCAAGGGGTGAGTGACAACTGCAGGTTACACAACTCCTATTGTGTAGCGTCAAGGTGATATGAGGTGCTCGTCAAATCAAAAACTTGGGCATTTTTTATGTTGTTTTTTTTGTGGTTTTTTGTTGTTGTTGTTGTGGGGGGCGCTTAGCGCCTTTTATGTTCGTTTAGAATACATAATACTCCTTGGAATTTATTATTTAAAACAAAACGTTGATCAAAGGCACTAAAATGTAATTAAGAAGTTTCTAAGAAGACTACAGCCTATACAAGTCACAAACTGCGCTAACTTTATATCTGACACCAGGCGATCTGACCTCTTCCAATCGAAAATATCTTGACGTCTTTTCAAGAAGGATAAATGGGGAGGGGGGTATCAAAAACATACAGAATACAGGTTTTAAGATTATACTAATAACTTCATACATTCAAAAGTTGCCGAGCGCCTGATTTCACTGCGTCGTGACACAAATATTATACGAACAAATAATGCAGATCATACAGTTTGTATGCTTGCACGCTTGCTTGATTGCTCGCTTGCTTGACTGCTTACTTATTTACTTATGCCCACCCTTTACAACCAGGTACACACAGCAGAGACCTCTGTCAGATATGCCACGGACAGGGGGGTACTGTTGTGGCTAGTCGATGTCACGCTTGTCTGTCCTTTGCCACTTCCTCTAAACAGGGCCGTGCTACTGACTGAAGTGTCTTGAGGCCTTTCCCAAAGGAGTGATGTTCTTATGCACAGTAGAATTGTAAATGGTCTGATTTATCAGTGTCATAGTCATACTCATGCTGTGCCTGAACAACATAGTGAAAACTGCTGCTTTTTCTTTCCTCATCCGTACTATCGTCATTTCCTCTACTTCTTCTGTATGTTTGCCACTCTAGTGAAATGTTACTTTTGGGGTGCCTTGATAGTCGAAGCAGACGTTGTGCTGTTGTGGCTAGAGAGGTGAACAGAGTACGCCTGATTTGTCGTTTGGACTTCTCTGTGGACATCCACCCCTCATATGACCTTATGCAGTTGCGAGCGTTGTAAAACCTTACCAAATCTAAACTAAACTAACCTTGGTACATCCAGGTCATAGATGATGCCTAATTTCTGATTTTGTTTCTGTAATTTCCAGTCCACCCTTTCTTCTTTGTTCATCTGGTCTTCAGCATCAAGTCTCACAGGGCAATCTTATCTTTTGCATTCTCAGAAACATGTCCTAATTATCTCCTTCCTCTGCTTTTTATTGTCATGTTGAAATTTTTTTTATCATAGCACTTTTTCAACACTTCTGAAATCTCTGAACCATACATCAGTACCGCAAAAACATGTTTATAATACTTCAAAGTTAGTCTTCAGTGAGATAATCGTTGAATTCCAGATGGTTTTTTACTTCACAAAAGCGAACCATGCTTTTTAAAGGTTTTGATGGACGTCGGCAACACAATCTCCGGTTGTTGAGATAATACAGACACGGCACTTACTTTTATGATACCCTGCTGGAGACTCTCCCTGAAGATTGCATGACATTATATAATATTATCTGAATAAGTACTGCAGCGTACACATCACCATACTGTGGTAAAAAATTCGTGGCGCAACTTATTGTCAAATAGTTCCCTAACTATCGAACATTAAGTCTCCAGATTTTGCTCATTGACTTGTATCAATTTGTCTTAACAGATTGCTGATTAGCTGTATTCTAGAAAATCTGTTAATGAATAAATACCAATTAAAGATCCCAGAGGGTGGTTTCTGCAGATTTTAAAATGATTACAGTTGGGACAATATCGCTTTTAATGGAAAGTCTGTCATTATTTTTATTCGCGACGTAATCTTTATGGCACGCCTGTTTTGAGAATTATTAGTGCAAAACAAGTGCTCACTTTAAAATCAATTTCTTGAAACAAGTTTTGCCACTATAAAGCGTCATCGGTGAGCTGTGACGTAGGATGAGTATGCAAACATTAAATGTGTGTAAGAAGCGGGAAGTACTGTGAACAATCCCATTTTCAGCGTGACGGAGATTCATAGTATTTTATATAAATGTATGATGTATGAGGAAAGAGTGTTGTTTTATTTTTGTTGTGAGAAAAATATGATTAAGTTAAGACTATAGAAATAAACTGCTGTGCAAAGTATGGATGACAGTGATTCACCCGTGAAAGAGATATATATTTGATGATAAGTTGCGCCACGAAATTTTGACCGCACTGTAGATATTTATTATCGGAATAAGCGCTGTGGGGTTTGCACCAAAGATTGTTTCTTTATACACCATTAATTAATTATTTGTATTGAAACTGCAGTCCACACATCAATAAATATTTGATTGTTCGGATCAGTTAAATATACCTTATATATGCTCGTAAAATTTCAGAAATTCTACCGAAGTCTGTAATGTAGTGGTTTGGCGCTTCGCTGTCGCACGCAGGAAAACTGAGGGCGACTCCCAAGTGGGGAGAAACTATAATCGAGTATCTTTCTGCTGGGGTATTGCATCCCTCTCAACCAAGGACCTTACAGCACATGGACGCTTCCTCACTCTATAAATATAACTTTCTTGCTCTCAACCTAGGTTGACCCTGACATGCAGGGTAAGGAGCCCCTCCCCCCCTCCCCCCCAATTTTTTTTTTTTTTATGTTTTTAATTTTAAAATCCTCAATGATCTAAACTGTGTCATACATAAAAATCTTTGGTTTGGGTTTTTTGTTTGTTTTTTCAGAAATCATTAGCAACTCGATCCCAGTGTACAACCGCGGGTTCCAGGAGACGAAATTCCTGACCAGAAATGGAACCCATTCCTATGTTAGCCTGTACATTTCAACTGAGACAAGCTGGTAGTAATCTTTTGTCTGTCTGTCTGTCTGTCTGTCTGTCTGTCTGTCTGTCTGTCTGTCTGTCTGTCTGTCTGTCTGTCTGTCTGTCCATCTATGTCTCTCTGTGTCCCTTTCTCTATCTCATTATCTCCCTTCTCTCGTTCCTCCTGTCTGTCTTTCTCTCGCTTCCTCTTCCCCATCCTTCTCCCCCTCCCCCCCCCCAACTTCTTACCTACCTTTTTTTAACCTTATATAATTTACGACATAAATATTGAAAGACCATTACATTCTATCTATCTTACGTCTGTTAAAAATATTTTACCTGTGTCTGTGGTATAAACGTTAGGCTCTCCGTCGACAACCAAAGAGCACCTGAGCTCAATACCCGTTTGAAGGAATTTTTATCGGGTATCTCGCTCTTTCTGCTAGAATTAAATGCTGTATTCCTGTCAGTGGGGGTTGGCTTTTACAAGCAGGGTCGTAAGCCCCTCTCCTAATATTTTGTCTAAATTGTGTCAGTGGGGATGCAAAAAATACCTGAACACCTACATAATATACACGTATATAAATAGATCTACAGTTAGTAGTATAGGGTTTTACGGCGCTCGCAACTGCAAAAGGTCATATGAGCGCAGCATAGATCTATATACAAATAATATGTATATTTTTATGTATATATTTTTTTTTGTTCTCCGTTTTTGCAGGTTAAGCATCACATTGGAAAATAACGGTCAAGGAAATCTAACGACCAGAATCGAAACTCCAAAAATGATCGTTGAACCGACAAGTCGTGACCTCTCCTACGAAGTAGGAGAAAACGCAACATTTACGGTATGCTTCTGTCTTTTGCCAAGTTAATTTTCTGTATGTATATTCATCTGTTTTCCTCTTAGTCTTTCTGTGCCTCGGTCTCTTCGTCAGTTTGCCAGTCTGTCTGTCCGTCTATCTGTTTGTATATCTGTCTCTCTCTCTCTCTTCTACCTCTCTCTCTCTCCTTCTCTCTCTCTATCTCTCTCTCCTTCTCTCTCTCTCTCTTCTACCTCTCTCTCTCCTTCTCTCTCTCTATCTCTCTCTCTCTCCTTCTCTCTCTCTCTCTCTCTTCTACCTCTCTCTCTCCTTCTCTCTCTCTCTCTCTCTCTCTCTCTCTCTCTCTCTCTCTCTCTCTCTCTGCCTCCGTCTGTTGATCAGCCCGTTCTGTATATCTGTCTATCTCTCTGTCTTTCTGTCTGTCCATCTGTATGTCTGTCTTTCTGTTTGTCGGTTTGATCTACAAGCGTGCCTCTTTGTATTCTTTTGGTTCTTATTATGTTTACACATGTTTATGCTACATTGCTTCGATTAAAGCATTTGAGTTAGCCATAACCGGACTCTTCGGTATAAAGCTTAGGTACTTTGCTGTCACACGCAAGAGAACCGAGTTCGATTTTCGAGTGGGGAGAAATTGTTGTCGAGAATGTCGCTCTTTCTGCTGCTTCCAAAATGATTTGAATTAAATTGTGTTGACGGGGACGTAAAACACATGGGTTTTTTTTATTCTAAGAGTTGAATAGATTTGGGTTTTATAAAATAATGTTAAAGTGCAATAAAAGATACTACTTTGGCTTTGTTCACTCTTCCAGTATTGAGCAACCCTCAGGAGTCCTTTTGTGATTGTGTCACAACGCGGTGGAATAAGGCTCTCGTCAGTGTGTGGGCATAAAGAGCTATTGGTATTATCTAAGAAGAATTTTAAGAATTACTACGTTCACATTTCTGAAAACTACGTACTGAGCAGATAGAACTTAGTAATTCTAGAGTAGCGAATTTGGCAGTAATGGACCAGCCCAATGGTGCACATGCTTTGCAACGAAGGTTTTATAGAATGCGAAGATGGGCAGCCACTACAGTGTACTCTCTTGGATCATCATCAGCAATGCCTTTCTCAACCTACATCAGGGTATAGGATACCAACAGACCTTTTCCATCTCTTTATCGGGTATTAGTTCTCTCCTAAAAAATTACAGCGTTCTATCTGTTCAGTACCTAGTTTTAATAAATTTGACGTAAAAAAATTTAAGTTTCACAACAACTCAAGCTTGTTCGAAGGCAAATCTTTGAATAGCTTGATAACGAGCCCAAATAATCACACGGTTTTGATAGATTTGACAGAACATTCATTGGTTTCTGACTTCATGGTACTTATAATTCAAAAAGGACTAAAATGTCAGAAGGAACTTTGTTTACATTTTTTTTAATGGAAAAAAATAAACTACACTTTTATTGATCCCAGAAGGGCAATTTGGTTTACAATGGCAGACAGACAGACAGACAGACAGACAGACAGACAGACAGACAGACAGACAGACAGATATAATTATGAATACATACATACGTACATAAATACATGCACAAATACACACATAAATACACAACATTACACCAGTGCAGAACAATCTACAACCATGCCATTGCCAGTCGCCACTGTGCAGCGCCCTGTATCTTGAGCTGGGGTTGTCGTGTCTTGCTTAAGGACACAATGACCACACATCTAAACCCCGTGTCACCGACACTTTCTTGACATTACTTGAGTCTGAACTCACTACTCACTTAGCCACTGGAGCCCCCTAAGGTAGCAAGTTGTCTATTGTTGGGTCACACTCCCCGTCCTCCCCCTGCCCATAATTTGGTCCTTATGGCGTAGGGCCCATAGTACGCACGCTTCGCAATGAAGCTCTCGCAGAGTGCCAAGCTGGACGGCCATGTCGAGAGTGCGCAATCTAGGGTATTAAATATAAATCGGTGGCTACTACAAATGATGGTCAGGGTAGATGACTTAATAATAATAATAATAATAATAATAATAATAATAATAATAATAATAATAATAATAATAATAGTAATGATAATAATAATAATAACAATAATAATAATGATGATGATGATGATGATGATGATGATGATGATGATGATGATGATGATGATGATGATGATGATGATGATGATGATACTACTACTACTACTACTACTACTACTAATAATAATAATGATAATAACCACAACAATAAAAATGATAATAATGATAATAGTAATAATGATAATAATGATAATAATAATAATGATAATAATAATAATGATAATAATAGTAATAATGATAATAATGATAATAATAATAATAATAACAATAATGATAATAATAATAATAATGATGATGATGATGATGATGATGATGATGATGATGATGATGATGATGATGATGATGATGATGATGATACTACTACTACTACTACTACTACTACTACTACTACTACTACTACTACTACTACTACTACTACTACTACTACTAATAATAATAATATAATAATAATAACCACAACAATAATAATGATAATAATGATAATAGTAATAATAATAATAATAATAATAATAATAATAATAATAATAATAATAATAATAATAATAATAATAAAAATAATAAAAATCATCATCATCATTATCATCATCATCATAATAATAATAATAATAATAATAATAATAATAATAATAATAATAATAATAATAATAATAATAATAATAATAATAATATTATTGATGATGCTGATGATGATGATTATGATGATAATGATCATAATAATATTATAATAATAAATAATAATAATAATAATAATAATAACAATTATAATTATGATAACTACTACTACTACTACTACTACTACTACTGCTGCTGCTACTACCTCTACCAATACACCGAAAAACGAAGGTGTTGAGCTAGCACGTTCCACCAGGAGTTAGGCCTACGTGACAAATAATATAAGTAATTTTATTTTTTTAAATGTTACATGACAGAGACATATCTGTCATACATTATCACGAGATCAGCTTGGTCGTTTTCTCTTCTTTATCTCATGAACTTAAGTGTGACGTAAAGTACATAACAACACCACAGAACAACAAGTTGGTTTTGAGGGTATTCGCCACACACCTCACCCCCTCCCCCCCCCCCCCCCCCAAAAAAAAAGCACAGACGTCTTATGGGATCATTGGTAGCGTGCGGGTAGACGCACTCAACTTCCGGCACGTGGCGTGAGTTGTCTGCGGTGAACTGCCTCTAAAGGTTGCTCTCGCCCATCGGTGTTCCTAACGGTAGGCTTTAGTTCCCGCAACACCGGAGGGCGGCCGCGTCGTGCTGGTTGCTGTAGATGGACAGGTTGGGTAGGGTCTACCCGTGCAGGCTTGGGGCGGTCTACTGAGATGCGTTCTGTGCGGCCTCCGATGTCCAGAAGGAAGGTCTTTTCTCCTGAGGCGAGCACCATGTAAGGACCTGTGTATGGTCTTTGAAGTGAACCTTTCACGGTATCTGTGAGAATGTAAACATACTTCGCTGTTAACAAAGATGGTAGGAAGTAAGTGACTGAGTCACTGTGGTGGATAGCCGGTATAGGCCTAGTGAACTCGGTCAGTGGCTCGCCATAGAACAGTTCTGCTGATGAATATCCCAGGTCATCCTTGGGAGCGGTTCGTAGCTCAAGGAAGTTCTTCTACCAAGCTGTTACCAGTGAGTCTGGCCTTCAAGGCCGTCTTACGTGAGTGATGGAACCGTTCTATCATTCCATTTGCTTGGGGAGGAAAAGCCGCTGTTCTAGGTAATCGGAGTCCAGGGCGTTTCGCCACGTTAGTCCAAATTGTAGAAGTGAATTGAGATCCGCGGACCGATGATATATCGACAGGAACACCAAAACGGGAGATCCAGCCTCCTATGAGAGCGTTAACACATTCGTTGTTGTTATGTTTGGCATAGGGATCGCCTCTGGCCATCGTGTGTTACGGTCAATAATGGTCAAAAGATACCGTTGACCACAGAACTGGGGAAGTGGACCCACCATGTCAATATTGATGTGTGAAAACCGTTTGTCGGGTACTCTAGATGTCTCTAGGGGAGCATGGGTGTGTTTCTGGAATTTTGATGTCTTGCATTCGTGACACTGTTTCACCCAACCACTAACCTGACGTTGTAGGCCATGCCATATAAACTGTTCTGTGGTGAGCTTGACAGTAGCCTTAACCCATGGGTGTGCAAGGTTGTGTACAGACTCAAACACCTGGCGTCTGAACTCTGGAGCAGCAATGGGCCGAGCTCTGCCAGTCAAAATGTCGGAAAGAACTTCGGGACTGTCGTCGATCAAGTTAGTTTTCACCACTTTTAAGCCTGTGAATTCTGTAGTGTACGCCTGTATACTTGCACTTGACTGCTGGGCTGCTGCTGAAGCTGTATAATCAATACCCAGTGGGACTGCATTAGTGGTGGTTACAGCACGTGAGAGATAATCGGCAACAACGTTTTTCTTCCCAGATATGTGCCTGGTGTCAGTGATGGTTTTTGAGATAGCAGATAGCTGCCTTTGCTGCCGGGCTGACCGAAAGTCTGTAGTTTTCGACTTTGCAGAGACCAAGTTTGTGATCGGTGTAGATAACGAACTGCCTACCTTCTACCGTGTACCGGAAATGGTGTATTGCAAGGTTGACACCTAAAAGCTCTCTATCAAAGGTGCTGTATTTCATTTCCCGCTTACGTAGTTGCCGGCTGAAAAAAGGCAAGAGGCTCCCAACGATCATTCTTGTATTGCTCGAGGACAGCACCGACTGTCACATCAGATGCATCACAAGTGAGAGCGATTGGGTAGTCTGCGCACGGATGAACCAGAATGGGTGCGTTTGCCAAGGCTTGCTTACCCAAAAGGAATGCCTGGTTCATTTCATCGGTCCAACTTAGAGCTTGACGAGGTTTGGCTGTTTTCAGAGAGTGGTAAAATGGGTGCAAAATCGCAGCGTTGTTGGGAATGAAACGGAGGTAAAAA